CTGAAGTGTTTCTCAGTGAAGTGTTTTTATTTTGCAAGACATTGTCGATAAAAAAAAAGTTTTCTTTTGATTTGATTAAAAAGAACTAACAAAGTCTGGTTAATTTTTTATTGTATTTTTTCCAATTTTTTAATACAAATCTTGAGTATTGTGGATAAACTCAGTTTTAAGAACAGTACTCAACACATTACTTGAAAATTGTACAAATAGAATAATTTTTTTTTTTGGTAAAGTACCGTAATTACCTATGTATAATACGTATTTTTCTAAAAAAAAAACTAAGCAAAATCAGGGGTGCGTATTATGCACAGCGACAAAAAATCTTTAAAAATTGCCGTAAAATAAAATAAGTATTATCATAAAACTAAATTAGAAAAATTTTATTTTATTAAACAGTGAAATTAACAAGAACCGGGCTAAATTGAGACGTTCTGCTAAAGAAGAATTGCGCCCCGACTGGAATCGAACCTGTATCACAATTCGTTCATTAGAGAAATCAACTCCTGTCGGAGTCACAATCCTTCTTTAGTAGGCATTCTCAATTTAGGCCAGCTGTTATTAATTTCACTGTTTAATAAGATAAAATTTAAAAAAAAAAATAGGGATAGCAAGTCAAACCCGAGTGCCCACTAAAAATAACAGTTATAGTATTAAGAAATAAGGCCGGATAAAAAAAAAAATCCTTTCAAAAATGACTGTTCTTCAGGTTTCGGGTACGAAACTGTAGGTAGCAAATATAGATTTGCGGAAGTCGTAACAATAAAAATGATCTTTTATTAATAGATTTATTCAAACCTTGACTCGCCGTCCTGGCTCCATGGCCGAATTGATAGAGAGAAACTTTTAGCTAAAATGTCATTTCCTACCAGAAAAAAAAAAACGAGGTAGCTTCGATTCCTGTCGGAGGCTCAATTTTCCTTAATTAGATCTTAGGACTTTTCAATTTAGCCCGTTTCTTATTAATTTCACTGTTTAATAGAATAAAAACAAGGATAGCAAGTCAAATACGTGTACCCACTAAAAATAACCTCTATAGAAATATCT